TTACATATACCAATATGACAGAAGTAGAAGGGAACAAGTAGACATATGTTAAATCATGTAACAAGTGTTCATATCAATACCATAGAATACAGTTCATTCTATACCATAGAATAGAGTTCATTCTCTTACGGAGTCATGCTCTACATGGTCAGAGGCTAAATACCATTACTATCAAACCTTATGCCAATGCCATAGAATAGAAGTCATTCTCTTATGGAGACATGCTCTACATGGCAAGAGGCTATGTACTAGTACCAATGTGAATCTAAGTCCTTTCACTGATCACATGGTCAAAGGTATTATAATTGCTATAAACATAGCGAACAAAATAACACGGGAGAATAACTCAGAATAATAACAATGAGAATCATATAGCACATATAACACATAACATACAATTGTTCCTATATATTGAACTCACCTTAAGTTTACTGGGTGTTAAAATAGTAATTTGGACAACATTTCGGCTTTAAATATATCTTTCTATGTTGAAAACCGGGAGCTTAATTGAAAACCGGGCTCTGTGAAGGTAGGGCTTCAAAACCAAAAAGATAAAATTTTCGGGCTTATCGGGGGTCTCAGGACGTGTTTCGGGTGCTAAAATTGATACCGGGGCTTTGGGACAAGTCAAAATAGTGAAAATATGGAAAAAGGGGCCAAAAATGGAAAATTTCCAATTCTAGCTGGGAGGGTTCGCACCCTCCTATTTGTAGGGGCGAGGTTCGAATCCTGTGGCTGAGAAGGAAACACGTCGCGCCTGCGAGGTTCGGTCAGGAGGGAGAAGACGTGCACCTGCGAGCTTCGGACATCTGGCAGGAGGAGCGAAGGCCACGAGGCCGCTTCGAGGCTCGGATGTGGCGTCTGCGAAACCGAGCACGTGGCTCGCATGCGAGATGGGTGCAGCGGTGGCGAAGCGAGGTTCGGACACGTATAAAGGTAGGTGTCACTGCGAGGCGAGGCCATATCTCCGGTGACGCACCTGCTTCGTGCGAGGTGACGTGGCTGGTTACTATTCATGCGAGATTTCTCGATTTTTGAGCCCCGAACTTCTAAAATCCATAACTTTCGCATACAAGATCCGTTTTTGACATTCTTTATATGCACGCATAGCTAGAATTATGCTCTACAACTTTTGTTTAGACTTTGTCGGCTCATTTTGATTTTATTTTTAATGTTATTATTTTTCACAGACTGGGACAAGAAAATCTGTTAAAAATTTATAACTTCTTCATTCGACATCCGTTTTCGTCAGACTTTTTACCGTTGTACTACATATGATGAGACCTTTGATTCTCATTTAGGATGTATCGGTCAAATATCGTTCGATCTAAAATTCGAGTTTTTAGCTGTCTACTATTAAGTTGAAACTTCGAAAAATCATAACATCCTCATACGAAGTTAGATTTTGGCGTTCTTTTTATCGAATTTCTCGGTTAACGAATAATACAACTTTCATTTAGATTTCTAAGGCTAAAAAGTAGTTTATCAAAAACTCACTTTTTAAGTCATTCGGCGCCGTGCCGGTTTTATCGCGGATCTTCGGTTGGTCATAACTTCTTCGTTATAACTCGAATTTCGACGAGGTTTTCGCCTACAAGTTTCTAACGGGATTCTATACAACATCAAATAATAAAATTTTACTTATTCAAAATTTTATATTTTCGCTAAATTTCACTATTTGGCTTTTAATTGGAATCTCATAAGACTTCCAATATTTTATGAGTGATTCTAAACATAGTTTTAATTCATTTCTAGTAAAAACTATCCGTTAGAACTCAACACTCAATTTCACATAATATTATTCTATTTTATAATTTACAATACACGATTTCAAAACGTGTATGTTACAAATACCTCCTCCTTTTGAGGATTTCGTCCCCGAAATCATAACGATTAAAACAATTAGGGATACTTCACTCTTATTTCATTCTTATTTTTCCCAAGTATAATTTGAGCCTCAATGGTGTTTCCACTTGAGAAGGACCAACTTCAGTTCTTTATTACGTAAACTAGTCGTTCTTTCAATTACAATCTCTTCTACTTAACTTATTATCCAATTTAACCTTGGATAATAGAACCATTTCATCATATATGCTTAACCTTTACACAGATAGCTCACATGAAACACTTCATGAAAATCTGTCAAATCTTCAGATAATTCCAAGCAGTATGCACGCTTACCAACCGTTCTTTCTTCCAAAGTAGTATAATGTCTTTTCATGAAATACCTTCAGTATTACTAAATCATCCACCCGGAATTCTACGGGTTGTCTCCTCTTTTCTGCATAGGGAATTTATCGATCCTGGGCTGCTTTCATTCTTTCTCGGAAAATTTGTATCCTTTTAGTGATGTCTTGAATCATTTTAGATCCTCTAAAGATCTTCTGTCTTACGTCACGCCAACATATTTGAGACATTTACGCTCATACAGTACTTTATATACCTTCAGTATATTTTATACTGTTTGGATTTCTCTCTTCTTTTGACCATTTGTCTGAGGATGATAAGTTGTACTAAGAGCAACTCGAGATCCTAATTCATACTTCATTCTCACCCAAAAGTGAGGAGTCAAACGAGTATCCTAGTCGGAAATAATCTATAGTGGTGCATCATGACTTGCCACAATTTCGTCTAAGTAACTTACGTGTATTTCTCCAATGGAGTTGTTTCACGTGTGGCGATAATATATGCACTCTTCATCATCCGGTCGATGATTATCCAATGGTTATCATTCACATTTTTCTTCTCCTCTTTCAAGGTATTAACTGTATAAGCTGGATAAGTAGAATATCCCTTCGACATAATTTATGAGTTTTTAAGAAAGAAATTTATTATTTTCACTGTAGACATAAATAGAATCTTCCCTTCCGATAGGGTTGCATATCGTCTCCTTTTAGAACAAGAGCTCTGCGTGGTTCTTTAACAACCATTCCATGTCGAGAATAATATCAAAGATAGGAATTAGGTTAGCAGGAAGATTATAACTTTCAATTCCTAACTTTCAATTCCTATAACACTAACTCTATAGGCTTTATCAGCAAGTAATGATATATTTCTTATGTTATCTATATGAAATGATTGGACAATTGCGTAACAAGCAATTTGAAAAGAATATGTGAATTTATAAGGCAAAAAAGAATCTGAGGCATTGAAATCAAATAAGATGTGAGTAGATCTAGAGTTTACGAGAAAATTACTAGTCACATCATTCGAGTTTTAACTTACTTCCTTTGTGGTAATCTAAATGTACGATATTTAGCTTTTAGTTTGCCAAACGATTGTCAAATTCTTCAAACTTCCTAATTACTGGCGGTGTTCAAATTTGCACCCGCTCTTCATTCTTTATTGAACATTCGATCCTAATCTTTGAGTTAAAACTCAATTCTCATTGCAGACTCCTGCTCCTTCTTGGTTTATAGACTAAACCCAAGATAAGGTCTTTACTTTTTCTATAACGCACTACTAGAAAAAAGGCCTTTTACGACGCGCAAAATACGACGCTCATTGATCTATGTTACGCAAAGAAGAGTGACATTAGAAAAATGTCATCTCTTCAAAAAATTTAAGGATAAAAGGCACGCATTATTGCGCGCCCTTAAATCAGTGTCTAAAAAAAAACACGGAGGGCACCTATAATAAAATGCGCGTCATCTAAGGATGTCGCTTTATAATTTTTAATGGAACGCGTGTTCCATCCTTTAACAGTAGGGGGAAATGAAATTCTGAAAAAATTAAAAATCCCGCCTTCCTTTTTTTCTCCTTTCCTTCTTGCCCAAATTATGGACGCTCCTTGCTTCCCCCTCCCGACATTGACTGCTGCCTACTTCTTCCCTCACTTCTATCTACTGGAACCACCATATGTCCCACTCGATGTTGAAATTGTTAGAAAAAGCCCTAATTATACTCTTAAGTCTAAATACAGAAAAAATAGAAGATGGTGAAGAAGTAGCAGTAGAGGAAGTGGAGGATGAACAGTCGAAAATGGAAGGAATGGCATCAATAGCGTTGTTACTAGATGGGTCAATCTCGGGTCATTTTGTTCAGCTTCCTGAGTCCGTTTATTACCAGATGGGTCAATCTCGTCTTTTCGTCTCGACTTCATATCTCTCTGTAAAGCAACCGACGACCCCCACACCACCATCTGCAAACCCTAAGCCATTGTCACTACCATTGAACCCTAAAAACTCATTCACACTCCACTAGATTGGGCTCCAGCGGTGAATCCTACTCTACCTCCCGTCTACCATAATTAGGAAATCCTAGAAATTAAAAAACCCTAATTTTGTCGATTTAGGGTTCGGACTTCGTTCCATCTCTCAGTCTCCGCCATTCTTGCCAACTGGTGTTGCAACACTGTTGTCACCATCTATCCCATCACCCACCACAATCGAAGTTGATGAAACCCTACCTCCTCCTGCTTCCAACGCCTCAAAATGGATTGTACATGTCGACGTTGCTTGCGTTTATTATCCTATTTCTCTCAAAATAAAATCGACCCAAAACCCTATTTCTTGTTGTTCAAATTAATTTCAATGTTGAACCTTCGAATTCATAGTTTGAAGAAAAGATATTAGAAACTATGTATCAGAATCCAGTAGTGGTGGTAATTGGTGAGAACGGTTCATGGAAAAGAACTCAACTCCCGTAGATTTTACATAGAAATGGCTAGACGAAGACCAGAACCATCACAGTCACCCATCCCCATTGTGTCGCTGTCATCTTTATTTCTAGGTATTCATATTGTCACAGATAGAATCAGACCTTAATTTTTACCTCTCATGTGGTTGTCAATTACGTTTAAATGGTTACTTCCCAATATTCTTTTTCTTTTTATTTACTAGTTCAGAAGGTTTTCTTAAAGTGTTGACAGCATTGGCAAATACTCTTCCCCTTATCCATCACAAAGGTATTTCTTATTCGTTTTTTTTTGTTTTCTGATTTTAGCAGTGGGAAAAACATGGAGGAAGTAGCTGTGGTTGTTGAGTTGATTACAAAGCTTCATGAAGGTAATATCTTCTGCGGGAAAACATGAGTTTTCTTTGGATGTTAAAACTGTTATTGGGTTCCAAGGGTGTGAAGAGGATGTGAAAATCATTTCAACTGTAATTGGAATTGAGAGTGGATATATTGGCTCTAACAAGAGCAAGGTTATACATAATTAACTTTACAAAGAAAAATATTAAAATATTTATGCCTGAAGAAATGATTTAATCTGTTTATTCTCTGCTTCATCAGATTAATGACCATATTTTTATTTTTATTGTTTTTGTAGGCAGAGGAGCTAGCTGAGGTTAAAAAAATGATAAAAACCCCTGATTTTTTCAACAAGCTTGTTGATAGTATGGCCCCTACTGTTTTTGCTCATCAATACATCAAGCGAGCAATTCTGCTTATGCTTTTGGGTGGAGTTCATAAGTTCACCCATGAAGGGATCAATATCCGGGGGGGGGGGGGGGGGGCATTAATGTTTGTATTGTTTGAGATCCAAATTGTGCTAAATCTTAGTTTCTCAAGTAAGCATATCTATTTAAATCTTGTTTTATATATATAATATGTGTAGAGTTTGACAATTTTTTTTCTTTTTCTTTTGTGGGTACACAACAACCTTAGTTTCAAGATCTTTTTACACATCTGGGAAATCTTCCTATGTTGTTGGATTGGCAACCACGGTTGCAAAAGAACCAGAAACCGGAGAGTTTTGTATCGAGATACTAGTTCTGTAAACTAAATACTAAAACTGATGATATATACATTATACAAAGGACTTTAATGTTTCCTTCCAATCAAGCATATGATGTATACATAAATCTTAAGATGGTTGTTTATGATGATTTTTTGCATAATTTTTAGTTTTACCCTTTCTTAATTATATTTTTTGCATTTGCACAAGACATGACTTTCTCAGTAAAATAGACGGAAACTAATTAGCATCACATTTGCATGCCGATTTGATGTTTACATGGATTATCAACTTTTTGAGCATCAGGCGAACACTATAACTCATGTTTTCAGTTCCACTCATGAGGGTATAACTGTCTTTTTGCATCACTGCAAATTCATTAGTTTTCCACATTCAGTTCATTTACGATGGTTATCTGTCGATGATTTTAATAAGCCCCCAAACATGCTAGTTTACAAAAGAAGGAAACATAGGGGTAAACTGGTCACAAACCCAGAGGACATGGTAACATCTTGATAAATTTATCAAGTAAGTCTTCCTTAGGGTAGCTTAAAGCTAAAAAAAATTCCTTAAATATGTTAGTTTATGATATAATTTTAATTTCATGGGTGTGCTTTTAGGGCTTAAGGCTTTAAGAGTACTCAATTTGGGATTCAATGATATTGCAGATGCTGTTTTGGTACATCTGAACGGTGCTTCTTGTCCTTTGATTATTTTTTATTTATGTTTTATACTAAACATGTATAAAGTCGAAGTTTTTGATGTCTATTAAATTAGAAGATTATATGTTTTTGCGTCGCTTGATGCAGGTTTAAATAAACTGGAGAGCTTGAATCAGATTCATGTAGAATTCGGACTAATTAACTTGGCAGGTGATTCTTTTGTTACTTATCTTTTTATTATTATTTAAGTATTTTTTTTAAAGCTTTTTACCATTGCAAAAACATAGTTATCGGATAATACTTTTATAACTACATATACAATAATTTTATTATCTTTGTATACGTAAAATATAAAAAAAAAAGTCCTGACATAGTTATTTTATAGAAATATGGCGTGTGGTTCAAAAACGACAAATTAGATAATCGTTAGAAAGAAGCTTTTGTATTGGAGAAGACACTTGAAAATATGTTTTTGATAATAAACGTAGCGGAATAGATACTCTTATTCATATTAAAGATTTTTTTTTGCTAATTATCTGGCATGTAATTTGTTTTTTGCTAATTATCTGGCATGTAATTTTTAGGATCTAACAGTGCACTTTTACACAAGGTGTAAATAAATTTTATTTTTTTCTTTGTTTTCTAACTTAATCTTATTAAATCAATATTATTTATATGATAACATTTCTTTCATGTTTCTTGTAGCCATATGTTGATGGCCTCCGGGTATTTTTTTTTTATTTTTTTTCATTTATCTTTAAAAATGTGGTTGTAAATATGTAAAATAACTTATTAGTTGAGCAATTTTTCATCAGGTTGCTATTAGTGCCATTGGAGATAAGGCCAATGACTTGATCTTGGATATGTATAAATCAGTTGTGTCAACATTTGAGTCATGGAAGTGCAACCAAGTTTGGTGAACAAGGGATTGTTGCTTAAGTGATATTATATCATAGCTTGTTCAAGTCTACTACCTGTGAAAGATCCTTATATGCATGCTGGAACAACAGTGCATACATGCTCTTGGTTCACTTCAACAACGACCTGACTGGTTGACAACCAGCTTTCTATAAGTATATATGCTTTATTTGTTCCTAAATTGTAGTTTATCATTTCATTTGTTAGTGTATGTTTAGACAAGTATGTTGCTACTTCTTTTGTTATCTTAAGGACTTCATAGGAACATGACCTAATATATGGGTATTTGGTCCCCATTAACTCCCAACTTTTAACAAATTTGTGTTGCATAACTTATTAGGTCGTATTACATAGCTTATTAAATACAAACACTTGATATATTGTCTGATAACTGTATTCATGATGACAGAGATGGGATACATTTTACAGCAGCTGCGAGTGGAACAGTGGCAATTGAGATCTAAAACTTGATGAGAGTGAAGATGAGAAACAGAAGCAGGATGGTCAGTAGAAGGAGTTTGAGGGGAAGAAGCTTGTTTCTGCAACCAAAGAAGGTCTAAAATTTGTATATGTTGTATATCTTGAGGTGAGTAGTCTCTTAATTCCTTATCTTTTTTCATTGTCCTTTTCTTTTTTATTAAAATGTATATCTTTTTTTAGGTTCTGTATGTGTACAGTGATTTAATGTTGCATATCTGGATAAAGTGTTGCATATATAAACTACTTTTTATTCCTGGACTGAATAAACCTTCTAAATGAAACTAAATAATCATATATATTACCCTTACATTCCAACAAACAATTTTCAGTATTCATCCATTTTATTTCTCATTTATTACTAAGTTAGGGTATATGGTTTTAGTTGAAAGGTGAAGATGAACAAAGGTTTGTCTCTTTTTATTTCTCATTTATTACTAAGTTTAGAAAATAAATGGAGACTAAATAAATGTCATAATTTTTGTTTATAGCTCCTTCTCTTCAGTTTGCTTCTTGCTTCCAATCTATGTCAGATAAAAATGGAGATTGATGGATGTCGGTTAATAGCCTCTTCTGGAGCGTATAAAGCAGTAAGTTATTAATATTTTTTAAATAAATAAATGCTCCTCAATTTGCAAAATGAAAGGGAATAAAAGTAAATAAATGTTGATATTTTTAATTTGAAGGTGGTGGAGTGTCTAATTAGGTTGGTTGAAACCTGATGACATTTCCTTCTATATAACTTTTTAAACAATTTTTTATAAGGCACAAATATACAATCATATAACTTTCTACTTTATATAATGTCTAATCATTTGTTTTTTTTTTTTTTCAGTTAACTGTTAACTTATAAGTAATTGGAGGTAAGGAAAAATTATAACCACGACTCATTTGCAAATTATCAAATTTTGATTTATTAATACACATGTAAATGAGGTGAAAGGAGAGGATGTTTGTTTGATAAAGAATTCTGTTACTCTATCTGGTTCGTTATTCACCTTGCATGTATCCCAAATATGTATTGAGCTGCCAACTCTCACTGATAAAGATAAGGAGCTGAAGTTTGTCTTTTGTGATTCCATTAGATGTTTCTTATCATATACTCATTTAAGTTGTAAGTTTTATGGAAAATTGTAGGTTATTAGCAAATGGGGAGTGCGTAACAAGATTTTTGCAAAGATAGAAAATTTTGAGGTCGGATGCTCACATTTTTCAAGTTGTATGTAATCAAATTGTCTCTTATGTCACATTGGAGAGATTACTTTAATGTCACATTGAAATTTCATCGAATAGCATAGCGATAAATAGAAGAAATAGCAATGTACTTTCATCTATTATTTGTATGACATTAAATATTATGCAATGGATTTTATTTTTTTGTATATGGTATTTTAATTTTTATTATGACACATTAAATACAAATTTAATTTGAAAACTAGTAAATCTATAAATAATATATTTTTTAAACATTTAAAATTATGATACGCAAAAATGTGTGTCGTCTTCATTTATGACATGGCCTTTCTTGACAGGGGCTTTCTTGATACGCATTGCGTGTCATTAACATGCGCGTCGTAAGGTTACGACACACAAATGCATGACATCTTCCTTTATGACAGGGCCTTCCTTGATACGCATTGCGTGTCGTAAACGCGTGTCGTCTCTCTTTATGACAGGGCCTTCCTTGACGCGCATTTGCGCGTCGTCTGAGCCTTTAACGACGCGCAATGAGCGTCGTAAAAGGTTGTTTTTCTAGTAGTGACGACAACTCGAATGGTTTTATTCTAATGACACTTGTATTTATAACACATAAGACACATAACGATCCAAACTCTTGTATTAGAATCAGATCGAATAAATCGAGCTGATAGAATAAAGAAAATGAAAAGAATTTGATCAACATGTAGATGCTTTGGAATAGAAAGAATAGCACCACGTATCTCTAATTCGTGCTTTCGGACCTACATATCTTTTAGCTTTTGGCACCTCCTCCTTTTCAGTTGGGGTACTCTTTGATTATTTAATGAAAACTTGACTCCCCGTCATTTGACTAGTAAGAGTAGGGCATAAACATTTCTTGTGTCCAGTAACACCACATAGCAAGTTACATCTTTGGCTAGTGATTGCTCAACTCTTTAATGAAGATCGTTATATTTCTATCGATTGCCTTGACCATTTACTTCTTTAGTATTCCTACTGATGTTTTGTCACTATATAAGACATGGTTCTCTGAACCAATCAACTCCTTTCGCGGATTTATACTAATCGGACTCGATTCTTTATGACATTAATATTTGAATGATAATAATCTTCTTAGTCATTACCGAAACGAAGGTAACGACACACATGAATAAAACGAAATCATTTACTAGCTTCTTGGTAACCTTGTGACTTTTTCCTGATCCAAGTGTGAGTCTTGTGCTTCCAGTTGTATAGGCCTCTACTACTATTCACACCTACTCATACTCGTCCCAAGTATTGTCTCGCAATTCCCAAGTCACCATTCAAAAGTTTTCACAAAGCAACTTATCACACATGAACGTGTTTATACAAATACAAACAACAGTTTCTCCTAGACTCAACTAGGGTCTTCAGGTTTTTATCAAACATATATTGGATTACCTATACTCGCCTTCTAGGATTCTTCTCATGCATATGCTATATCCGAATAATTTTCCATAGGTCGATAGAAATTTTACTTCCATTTCTTCATACTAATTCTTTCTTGAATAGTGTCTACTCTACAAGACACACTATTCCAAGATTTACTTTAGCAGCATGGAAATAAACGGTCTTCTACTACCTACATCATCTTCTAACTCATGCAATCCATCATGCACTTTTGTTCATTTCATTATTCTTCCTTGACATCGTTATTCTTGTATCTGATTAAGTCTAAGTCTACTTCATAGGAGTCTATCCTAAGAAGTCTGCATCTTAGCTGCATCTCAACAGGCTTTACTAGCTTCAACTTGGTTATGTGTCATTCCTGACTACAACATCTCTTCTCATACGATACTATGGGTGTATTTCTTCTTCAATTAAGCATTCTACCTTACTTAAACAAGTAAGTTGCTTAACCATTTACCACTAAATGATTCAATTCACCATCCCAATCTTGTATGTTAAAGTCGGCTTAACACACAATGGAACTTTATATCACACAGTCTTGGCCTATTGAGTCTGAAAACTTCATTAGCCTTTCTTTTGATCTTTATTTAATTATTCTAATCTTGTACCACATCAATGGAGATACTATCGAAGTATTGATCGCCATCTTTGCTTCTTTCGTCTTTCTAAACAATCACTACATCAATCTGAACAGCGGTAGAACAACTTCATGGAATCGTACCAACACATTTATCTTGTCCAAACGTGGTTCAAACGAACATCTTTCTTCTAAAGATATTATTATATATCAAACATACTTTAAATGTATATTACCGCTCTATTGGTAATTATACACTTATTACGATAACAATTCATATTTATTATTTTACGATATCTCGCGATCGTTTATTTATCAACTTATCGATGTCAACTATCATAAGTCTCTTTATCACTCCGAAAACTTCTATTATGAAAATTCTTAAAATTTTCTAAACCATGGTCGGCAACAGACCTTAAGCTCTCTCACATAATAGAATATAAGGCATATCTCTTATCTATATTCATTTATCATTTAGCACATAATAGAATATAAGGCATATCTCTTCTCTATATTCATTTATCATTTAGCACATAATAGAATATAAGGCATATCTCTTCTCTATATTCATTTATCATTTAACACATAATAGAATATAAGGCATATCTCCTCTTAATATTCTAGTGCTTGCCTCAATTAGGTATTCAACCTAAAATATATTGTATCATCTTTACTTAATAATTCTTGTTTACGTTTACAAATTCTTAAAATTTCTGAAGTAACTTAATATCTTAGAATACTAGGGTTTATCATTACCCAATCCCCCACTTAAATATTTCCTATGGTTTGTATCCATATACTTATTACGAATCAGCTCATATATTGAGCTTCCAACAGTTTAAGTCTAAATACCAATCCGTGATATTTAGTTCACTTAAACCATTGCTCTGATAGCATGATTGAAAGACCCTAACTTTCGTATTTATGAAAGACCCAAACTTTCATACTATTTTAAAAGATTTCTTAAGTTACTTCCTCAAAACATGCTACATGCATATTTAAAAAATAATATTTTATATTGATAAAGTGATTACAAAGGATTGGATACAAACCGACTAAGTTTTATTAGAATTTCATATCTACTCAGGAATCTACTATTCATATACATACATGAACATTAAAAATATAGAGAAATACTATTAACTATTCTAAATCTTTCAGCAGTATAAAGCTATATTGGAATACTCATCACCTACAATTGTTAAATATTGAGAGGAATTAGCGATAAAGCTTAGTGAATTCAATAAATAGATACAATATAATCTTATGCCTTACATATACCAATATGACAGAAGCAGAAGGGAACAAGTAGACATA